ATTCTTTGCATTGAAGAGTAATTCGACATTTTTCAGTGAAATAATTACTTTATGACATAAAAACTTTAAATATTAGTTAACTTTCATGCTAAGCCTATATGGCTGTATGTTTGAATCAGGCTAGTGTAACATAAGAAGCACAGCTGGATAGACTATATCTAAATCAAACTTGTATTTCATGAGAAGCACAGCTAGATCCATACCCATATAATGGTTTAATACTCCATGGAAAAAATGCTATTGAGGTCACAAACTGAGATGCTGAGGGCGATAACTTTAGATTGTCTTTTAACTGATATGAGACAGCAGTCCATACGAATGACCTGAAACCCTGCTACCATAGAATCATGGAGAATTAAGTGTGAGAGTTAGAATTCACAACATATAACTTCATTGATCTTAAGAATGCAACTGCCAACAGGTGACCATCAATAGTCGTCAGACCTTGAAAAGGTGTTCAAAATGATACAAAATCATTGATCCATCTTATACTATTGAGCTAACCATTAATTTCAATTTTCTGCACCCAGAAGCTAACTAATTTGCAAAAACAAATATATATATTTTTTATGCTAAATAGACTGCAACGAATAGAGGATTATTGAGAAAAAGACAGTGTCAGTATTTACTAAATGAACCTCACATTCAGCAAGCAGGATTTTTAGCAAAATCGAAAAAGATTTCCACGAATAGGGATCCGCATAAACATTTTATATAATACTCCCGAGACAATGCCGAAGGAAGTTAGCTGCTTAGGAGTAAAATACCCACCAATTTCTTGGAAGTTTGCTTCAATACAAGAATATAAAACACCTACATATCATGAATTACTGATGTCATGATGACCTATTCCTTTATTTCATCGCTATAAAGAACTGATAACAAGTGAAAATTAAAATCTTATTCCTGGCTTATGCAGAAATGGAGCAAATTTACCATATATGGGTGCAATTCAAGTGGAGTTGCCTTAAAAATCTTGAAGCACAAGATTCTCAAACTGGAAAATTGTCAAAGATGATAGTTTCGGAAATTTTAATCAGAATAAATTTATAAAACAACAGGTTCGGGGAATTTTTAAATAACTCTGTACGAAATTAGAGGTTTTAAACGTGTAGTGGAAAAATGGAAAACTAAGAAAATAACAAACTCAGAACACCTAAAACAAGAAATCAATAGATCAATAAATCATAAGCTCATAAAAAATATTCCATCGCTTCACATTTGAACAATTTCCAAGATATAAAAATCCCATCAAGAAGTAATGCAAAAGATAAATTAATATAATAGAACTTAATCTGGCGAATGACGAGAACCTGGGTAAAGTAAATCAAGCAAACGAGCCATAGAAACGAGGCCCCAAAAGCGATCTGTATCTGCTTTAACCAATGTATCATTTTTCTTTTCGTTTTGGCTATTTCGCTTAGCGCCCTGCAACCCTGATTATCCTTCGCAAAATTTTAATTGAGGCTTCAGTTTTCTTCTTTCGTTTCTTCGATCGTCATAGATATACACAATCAAGAAAACGAAAGGAGAATTATGGGAGATGTTACATCCAATTTATTGCGTAACAATTTTGCATTCTTTTTCTTTGAATTCTCCCTCTACCGTTTATCCCCAAACTGATTGACCGTTCCGACTCCACTTTCCTATTTCTTTTTTTTCCGGGAGTCGGTTTTTATATCCACAGTTTATATCCACCTTTAAAATGAATTGCGCGTTAGTTGACAAATGTTAAGGGTCCGTGTTTGATTGCAATGGTGGAAAATAGGCGGAAGGAAAATATTTTAAAGGGAAAAGATTTTCCTAGAATTGTAATTAATTGTGTTTGATTGGTATAATTTTCTACCTGGAAAATGTTGAAAGTTTGGTATCTGTTTGACTTCATTTTTTTATAAAAATTGTCCATTAAAGTGATAATTTTTCTACCAATACGTCTAGAATTTGTTCTAATTACCAAAAAGTAAAAAAAAAAAAAAATTACCATATTCGTTTGACTTTGTTTTACATAGAAATTGTCAACAAAAATGAAAATTCTTTTTACAATAGTTGATAGAATTGGTTGCCATTGATTAAAAAAAAAAAGGTGGAAAATGTTTTCTCACCTAATAGGTGAGAAAACAAAATCAAGTTTTTGTGCATCAAATGATTGTACCTAGAAAAAGGTGGAAAACGTTTTCTATGGAAAAATATACCTATCAAACAGCTTTTTAAGGGTGGAAAAGAAAAATGTTTTCCTTTTCCATGGAAAACTAAGGCTATCAAACGGAGCCTAAGTGAAAATAATATTTCGCCCTTCGATTATTCATTTGATTTAAATGTGAGAGAGAACTGTCAGTCTTCAAAATAAATATTAATTATTATAATGTACGTAAATAATGAAATGCATATTTAAACATATATAATAGAATTACAATTAAATTGATAAATAAAGATAAATGACAAATATGATACATAAATTAACGTGAATATTAACTTATTCAGAATTAATATCAAGAAATATATACATAGTGATAATGAATGTTAAATCATTTATACAAAATAAATAAAATTTAATTTTCAATTAAGTGAAATTTGATGCTAATTAGCATGCGTGAACGCGAATCAACTGTATTCTTAAATGTGAAATTATAATTAATATTAGTTAAATGAATGTAAATGTTAAGTGTCTATTCTTTTCGTTTTTCAGTTTTTAGTTTTTAATTCATTTTGGATTTTATGTTTCAGTATCCATTTTGAGATTGTTCTTTTTGTCATTTTGAAAAATTATTTTCAAAAATAAAAAAAAAAATGAAATTTTGGTTTGGTTTTGACTGAAAACAGCCAAAACGAATTTTTTTGCGTTTTCCTTTTTTTTTTTTGTAAATTTAAAACTCATTTTTGAAAATTCATTTATGAAAAAAGGTAAGTAAACATGTTTTCAGTATTTTCGAAAACTAAAAACTAAAAATGTTATGAAAACAGTAAAGAAAACATATCCTAATAAATTGAGAATTAATAGTAGGAATATGAACGTGAACGTGAATATGAAAATAATAGATTAATATTAATTAAATGAATGTGAATATTAATTAATTGAAAATTAATATTATGGAATATAAGCTTGGCTAAGAATTTTGTGGTATTTATTAATATTTGTAAATTAAATAAATATTGAAAAACGAAAATAAGGTATTATTAAAATAATTGAATTATAATAGGACTATAATCGTTCAAAAATAAAAATATATAAATAAAAATTATATCGTTCTAAATTCATCAACTTATATTTATTTTCATTAAAATTCTTTTGAACATTTTTATATTATTTTAAAATTTGTGTTTAACTAAAATTCTAATAATCATAAAAAGGTAATTAGCACATAACGTCCTCACCTTTCATTGTTATTGTGGAAAACATTATTATCTTTCATTTTTTGACATTTTCACCCTTATTTCAATATTTCATTGAGCAAAAGGTTTCCATTCATTTTTTCAAATAAAAATTGTAAAATCATGAATATACTATTCTCTTTAAATAAAACAACAAGAAAAAATCAATTGCAATCATAGTCCTAAATTTTTTAAAAAAGCACAAATGAGTTTCAAATAAATTATTAAAAGAATAATTAGCACATAATGTGTCTACATTTCACAATTATAGCGGAAAACGTCCATACATTTCATTTTTTTTTACATTTTCATCCTTAATTACACATTTGATTGCGCAAACCATCATTTCTATCAATTTTTATCTAGTTCAAAAATTGTGAAATGATGAATATACCCGTCTATTTTAAAAAAAATAAAGAATTTGTAGTTTTGGTTGTTTTCAGTTATAGTGAGATTTTGAGAAGAATTGCTCTCCAATAAAGTCAAAATTTTCAAAATGCGTTTTGTGTGTTCAAAATAATTTTTCAAAATGTCAAAAAGAACATATTTTCAACAATTTCAAAATGGGGACACTCAAATACAAAAATCAAAACACAAAAGTGAAATATGAAGAGAACAACTCCTAAAATTCTCTGAAAACTCCAGAAAACATTTCAGAAACTCATGAAGATTTTTTTTAAAAATAAAATGAACTTTGCGGAAAATTAACGGAAACTTGACCAAAATATTCGAAAAATGGAAGTAAGTATTGCACATTATTATCGACATGTCATGAGCTTAAAAATAACTGTATTCTGGGGTTTAACTAAGATTATTATAATTCACTCTTTAATTCGTGATTAGAGTTTTAATTAATATTAAATATCTTTTGTGAAATTTGGGCTCCATTAAAAATGCATTTTGAGAAAAAAAAAAAATACATTTTTGAATAGTAATATTTTGAAGAATGTCTGGTTAAAAAAGAAGAAAAGATTTTGAATTTGCGAGAAATATTATTTTATTGAAAAATGTGTGGTTGAAAATAAAAAAGAAAAAATGTATTTTAGGAGAATGGGGCCCAAACAAGGACTAAATATTACATTTATAAAATAAAGTATAATTTTTATACAATGTTTCTACAACATTTCGATTCTTACTCTTACTATTTTTTGAGAAATAGCGTTATCAAGTGTCCTATCTCATTTCATTCTTCATTGCCAGTATCCGATTCCGTGCAACCTAGTTGAACCATGCATTGGTTAATGCAAAATGGTAATGAGTATAGACAGCGTAATACTATTTGTGGACATGCTTCTCATCCTTTGTCCATGGACAGTTGTAAATAGGATCATGACCATGTACTAAATTTAGAAAATTTGACAGCATCAATTCTATCCTAACACTTGTTTTGAAGTGAGAGAAATTACCCTGGGGATTTCTTCTGAGTTTCTTGACAGACCAGAAAATGACTCTTTCTCTTCAGGGTGAAGGTGAAATTTCCCTTTCCAGGAGATTCTGAGTCAGGATGCAATTCAAAATTATAATTCTATTATTTTTCTGAAAAGAAGATAAACATTCATACTCATTTTTGAGATTTATGGTTTTGTTATCTTGAATGGTTGAGGTGTGATAGCACAAGAAGTTAAAGGACGATGAGCTGTTTTTCATTTTGCATGTCACAAGAGAGAATCAAGAAAAAGCTATCGAAGAAGAGCATTCAAGATCACAAGGACAACAAATCCTTGGCCTCGTTTGCTAATATCTCCTACAAATCAGGTTAGAAAATATATTTATAATTTGTCCCGATTAAGCATCTTTGATGTCCGTTATTGTCATTTTGAGAGGTTTTCATTCCCTCAATTCCTTGTTTCTCTTCTGTTTGATGATTGATATCTTTCTTATGATCCATTATCATTGCATTTGCAACCTCTTCCTGGTTCTTGTCCCCTTCATGAGTGCAGGTTACGTAGCGTAAAATAGATATGTAATCGGTTTTCAGATTTTTCGTTAAATCCATTTTTAAGATCTTGGACTTCACTTATTCTAGTTTATTTGCTAATGAAGGCTTCTGTTGGGAATTGAATCCTAGTAAAAGTGCCAAATGTATTATGAAAGGAGACATTGCTTTTTCTAATTTTAATTGAAAAGGGATCTATTTCCGGCATTCATATCCATAGTTAGCACATTCATCTTTGTTAGCAATTCCAACTCTGTAAGGTAAAGATGGATATTGAAACTATCATTAATAAAACAACTGTAGGTTTCTTGTCAGAAATATTGCAGTGACAGGAAGATATTCTCCTAGAGTGGGATAAGGATATTGCAATGACAGGAAGGTATTTGAACCAATACAATCTTTCAGTTCCTATAGAATCTACTACTAAATTCTCCTAGAGTGGGATAAGGATAAGCGGAGAAAAAAGTGTTTTTCCACAAAATAACAGCTAGACGTTTCTCATAATACAAAATTTCAGACTTTTTGTTATTTTTTGAGTACCAATAATTTAGACCGAAATACTAGGATTTCATAACAATATGGCTAGCGAATTGAACAATTTACTTTGTATCGATCTTTGAGATGTACAAAACTGATTTGGTTATATAACATACAGATAGCAGCAGGAGAAGGTATATAACAGAAGAAATAGAAAAACTCGGAAAGGGGAATATTTCTTCTCAAATATTTACGTTTCATGAGTTGAGTGTTGCTACTCAAGACTTCAACCCTGAGACTTTGATAGGTGAAGGTGGTTTTGGGAGAGTGTACAAAGGTCACATTGAAAGCAAAAATACAGTAATTCGACTACCCTCCCTTCCCATTTCTTATAGTCATTCTCACTGCCTTCTAAACTTACACATAGTTGTGTGCTATTAGAAGCTATATTTTTAACTTTGCTATTTCTCGTGTTGATGTCTCTCAGGATGTTGCAGTCAAGAAACTTGACAGAAATGGTTTCCAAGGAAATCGTGAATTCCTTGTAGAAGTTCTGATTTTGAGTCTTCTTCACCACCCTAACCTTGTTAATTTAGTAGGATATTGTTCCGATGGTGACCAGAGAATATTAGTCTACGAGTACATGCCCAATGGTTCACTCGAGGATCATCTCCTAAGTACGTCTGACTGGTTCCCAATGCTATTTACAAATGGCATTTAAAAATAATACTTGACTCAACAAAGTCTTATCTATTCTGATTTTATACTTTCTTATGAACTTCACCTTTTCATCTACAGATGTTCATTTTTCATGTAGAAAATGCTGATTAGCCCAACTTTGCTTTCCAGATATAGGCCCAGACAAAAAGCCTCTTGATTGGAACACGAGGATGAAAGTTGCAGCAGGAGCAGCAAAAGGACTTGAATATTTGCACGAGACAGCTAATCCTCCTGTGATTTACAGAGATTTTAAAGCATCCAATATACTTTTAGATGAGAGCTTCAACCCGAGACTTTCTGATTTTGGCCTTGCCAAGCTAGGTCCTACTGGTGACAAAACACATGTTTCTACCAGGGTGATGGGTACCTATGGTTATTGTGCTCCCGAGTATGCATCCACAGGTCAGTTGACTACGAAGTCAGACGTGTACAGTTTTGGGGTCGTGTTTTTGGAGTTGATCACTGGTCGGAGAGTCATTGACAATTCAAGACCAAGTGAAGAGCAAAACTTAATTACTTGGGTACGTTAACCTCAAGACCTCTCCATGACCAAACAATGCATTAGGCAGAATAACTATTCGAAATTATCAGTGTTAAAAAATTTAACTTCTAATAGAAGTTACACCACAGAAGGTCCAATTCTAACATATCCATGAGATTGGAGGGAAGGGGTAGAGTCTTATGCCATATCCAAACTGCATCTAAATTGTGATCAACGAGAAGAAATTTAAGCCTTATTGCCACTCCATTATGTTTGATCTGGCATTATTCATGCTGATATGTTCAATGTAAATAGCTTTTTCGGGTTTATCTCCACGTTCAGAAATGTTTTATTGACCTTGCTTTCTACTAAATTTTTTAATCATATATACCTGTGTATCAGTTCCACATGAAAATATTACCTTTTTGACGTCATCCTGTCTCATTATACCATGTTAGGTTAGTGTGATGAAAACTGGGGTTAATTTTATGAAAATGGCAGGTGCAACCTTTGTTCAAAGACAAGAAAAAGTTCCATTTGATAGCGGATCCATTGCTTGAGGGAAATTACCCGGAAAAGGCACTCTGTCAAGCTCTTGCGGTTGCAGCCATGTGTCTCCAAGAGGAAGCTTCTACGCGCCCTTTGATCAGCGATGTTGTAACTGCTCTAGAGTATCTATCCGTAGGCAAGGGCCAAGCTGAAAATAAAGAAGAAGCACAAGAATCATCTACAGAAAATACTGAAAATAATACACCAGATGATAATTAGAGAGATCAAAATTGTGTAAAAATGAATATAATCTGATTCTGTACCATTGTGTTGCATACTCAACCCCATCATTCCGTTGCATACCAACCCATTACAAATGATCATAAGCCCACTTTTTTGAAAAGTTCACAGAATATTTTTGCGAAGTCTTTTGTTTTGTATTTTAGGCCTTGTTTGTTTCTGATTAAAATCAGAAACAAACAAGGCAAACAATCAATATTAACCACATCTTTCATGGATCACACAGCTTTTTAATCACACATTTCAAAAACTTCTATTACAATCTACTAAAAATTCAATTTTAATCCTCACCAAAAACCCTCTTAGTGTAATATTGTTAAGCAGTATTGAAGAAGAATTTCAAGTATATGGCATTTCTTTGTCATTGATACGCCGTAATTCCTCTTTGTGAGATCAATAATTTACAAAAGTAGAATAGGAAACTAGCAAAGTGCACACCTAAATTTATAGTGGTGTCCATACGCCACTGCGCTGCAAAAGAAGAGTACAAAATAATTTCACGCATCTCAAATGCAAAAACCAAGATCCTTAACTCCTTTCTTTCTGAATAAATTAGCAGATGCTAACCTGACCACAATTGTAAATTTTCACTCTAAAACCTCACAATCCCGTGAATTCGCCAATGATATTTTTTCAAACAATGTGTTGAACTAAAGTCCATGTACAATGTTTGACGCCCTCTAAGTTTTTTAGCCTAGAATTTGATTGGATAGAGAATATCTCTTACATCGTGTGGCCGTACAATTTTGTTTATTATGTCATCCATATTACTCATCAACCACGTTCTAGTAGTCATTAAACATGACATTTAATTTGAAATAATTATTTCGAATCAAATCGTAGGAAGAATCCAATCCATCTTGAAAATAATGGCCAATCAACATTTTTTACATTTTCTTGCCATGTCATCTTTCTTAACATGTGTATAACATAAGATTTTCTCCAAGCAACAATAGAAAAGTGGAAGCACCAATTAATTTTATTTTTTTTCTAACCATATATTCATGTGAAAATCCACAGATATGGGGGTTTTACTCACAAAATATTCAATTCCATCAAAAAGTTTTTATTTGTAAACACGACATCATAACTCGATCAAATGTATTGCAATACAGGAACAATCAAGCATAGGAAACCAATACTCTGTGGATATCTATTATGCCTTAAAATTGTTGCAAAAATGTGCAAAGGAAATGCGATGCTTGTGAATGTATGCGATGCCCCAGGTCTTATATTCCCGAGTGTGACTAGAACTTAAGAGTTTAAAGTAACATAAAGAAAAATTTGTATAGAAACATGGATGCAATAAAAAGACTAATGGTTAAAAATGTTCATAATAGAAACCAATCTTTTAAGAGCAAAGTCGCGAGTTCAATAATTTTGACTTAAAAAGAAAATAAAATGTCAAAAAAACAAAAAAAAAGAATCACTTGAAACACTAGCACCAGATGTTCTTGCTGACATTTATACAATTTTAATGAAAAAATGTGGAACCGGACAAGGACAAAAAGGACGTTATTGAACTTAAGGTAACGAAAATATAGGAAACTTTTTTTTAATGGATCTTGTTGTCATTTATAGTTTAAGTGCACTGAAAGGGGCCCTTGTTTCAAAAAAAATGTGGAACTGGACAAGGACAAAAGGAATTTATTGAACTTAAGGGAACAGTCCCATTCCAACTGGTGCAGGATTGGGTGGGAGAGATTCCAAACATTACATGTCACGCCTAATTCGACCGGGTTTGGTGAGCCAAGATTGGCTCAATGGCATGGCATAAAGGAAGGGAGAATGGGGAAAGTGTTATTGGCACTTGATGGCACTAAAGAAGATTTTATTCGGCTCCCTTCCATGAGGGCTGCAAACAACTTCCCTCAGATGGCTTTCGAGGAAAATTATTATCGTGAATATTTCAATTTGGTTCATGTGATGAATTGAGGGGCTTGTTTCATGTTTGAGATTGAGCAAGCTTGTTAGCCTAGAAATTGATTGCATTGAGCTTGCCATTCGTTAGTTATTAGTGGCATCCCAAATACTGGGTCGAAATATGGCCAATACGTGACCATACAATTCAATCTATTATATTATCCGTAATACTCATCAATAACGCTCTAGTAGTTGCTAAACATGATATATAATTTGGAATAAATCTTTCGAATCAAATTGTAGAAAGACTCCAATCCATTTTGAAAATTATAGCTTTTCAACATTTTTACATTTTCTTGCCATGTCATCATTCAAAAAATGTGAATAACATAAGATTTTCAATGAAACAATAGAAAAGTAGAAGCATCTACTAAATTTATCTATTCTAACAAAATATTCAACTGAAAGCCACCAATATTGGGGTTTTACTCGCAGAATATTCAAATCCGTCAAAAAGTCATCGTTCGTAAACACGGCAGCATAACCTGATGAGAATGCATTATTCTATTAATATGCTGTGGATGCCTATTATGTCATAAAAAATGTTGCAAAAATGTGCAAGGAAAGTGCAACGACTGTGCATGAGCATGTGAAAGAAGAGCGATATGTGTCGTGTTGTGGATGTTTTCGAGTCTTGAGCTATCATGTACAAGAAAATTTATTGTCGTCTTCCATACATCTTTAACTTGTAAAAGTAAATTAAACATTTTGTGCATTTGCCAGCACACATAATTTTAACATTTTGTGTATTTTTTTGTGCTGAGATAAAGAGTTTAACTGTAATTTATTTCTTCCTAATTACTGTCTGTATAAATGCAGCAGAGACCCACAACAGTTTGCTGCCGTTCCTGAAAAACCCACCCTTGATTGTCTCTCCACACACTAAAACCTTCGAGAAACTAGACAGGACAAGCCATACCAGGCAAAACTCCTTCCCTACCAACTGAAAATATTGCTCTTTTTTTTCTTCTCGGAAATTCTCCATCAATGGCTGAAGGAGACCATCTTGTGGCTGTGAGGGAGGAGGAGACGAGTTCAACTTGGAGAGGCTTCCATTTAGCAGAACCACCTATTTCTATAGGCCTTCTGTCACTCCAATTTATGCCCCTTCGTTTGATTATGTTAATCCCACCGCTACCTATCCTGCTGACTCCTTGCCAGATTCCGCCAGCTTGGTTGCAGACTCTGTTCCTATCAAGGCTATTTTTCTTGGGTGGAGATGCCCGCAGAAAAAATGGATAGACCGTATGCACTGTATTCACATTTCAACCTGGAAACAAGCTGGGATTTACGATGTTATCACCAACTCTACCTTCCAGATTCACCGGAGTGATTATGTTTTTGGGGTTGCAGAGAAATGGTGTTCCAGGACCAACACATTCGTGTCCCTGAGGGGAAAAGCTACGATCGTGGTAGACATGAATTTGTGGGGTCTTTTTCTGTTTTTGGTGACTCATTTTGAGAACCGCTGGAGAAAACGAATTGGAAGTGACTACAAAAGAACTACTTATCTTCTCATATAAGCTTCATTCATTCTTTCATTGTAAATCAGAACTCATGTAATACATTCATTGTTCATCATCTTTACATTCAATTCTACTAAATTCTACAAACACATTCGTTCCTGAGGGGAAAAGCTACGATCGTGGTAGACATGAATTTGTGGGGTCTTTTTCTGTTTTTGGTGACTCATTTTGAGAACCGCTGGAGAAAACGAATTGGAAGTGACTACAAAAGAACTACTTAAGGCACAGTTAGATCTTTCATGGACTAGAGCAAGGAAATCCTGCCTGACTCGCTGGATGATAGAATTCGTGGACCGCGCGTGGAAGTAATTTCGATCATGATATTTATAGAAACTTAAGTGCACTGAAAGGAGCCTTGTTGCTTCAAAAATGTGGGAACTTCACAAGGACACAAAGGACGTTATTGAAGTTAAGGTTACAGCCCCATTTAGACTGCCGAAGGCTTAGGTTTGGGAGAGATTCCTAACATTACTTCCCATCTCCAATTATAGGGTCCATTTTGCTCATTGAATACGCTCCAGTGGTCACTAAACCACATATTTAATCTGGAATAGCGTTACAAATCAAATCATAGAAAGACTCCAATCCTTCTTTAATTATAGGTAAACAACATTTTGACATTTTGCTTGCGACATAATCCTTCAAAAGTTATGCATAATATAAGATTCTCAAGCAAAAATAAAAAGTGGAAGCATGTATTAATTTTTTCTCTCTAATCAAATATTCACCTGAAAAGCCACCAAAACTGGCGTTTTTACTCACAGAATATTGAAATCCATCAAATAGTTAATGTTTGTAAACACGACAGAGTAACTTGATCGAAATGCATTCCACGAAAAGGGGAAGGACCAATCAAGTATAGGAGCACAATTGGACGTGGAAATTGATTGTCTTGAAAAATGTTTCAAAAATACGCAAGGGAAGTGCAATGATTGTGCGTGCACACTTGCCATTTGAATGGTGGAACTCATTGCATAATCTATTTCAATATCAGGCTGAGCCAGCTATTAGGAAAAATTGAGGCCATACATTTGTGACTCCTTAGTCTCCGATTTTGCTATGATTACCAGATCCAATCAGTTCCCTTTGGCGCCGAGATGTGTTCAACTTGGAGTGACTTCTCATTTCACGGAATCACCTAGTTCCTTAGGCCTTTTGTCATATCCGTTGATGGTCCAGTTTTTGCCCTACATTGGATTTGGTTAATCCCACCACTACCTCTGTTGCTGACTCGTTGCCGGATTCCACCACCTAGGATGCTGACTCAGTGCCGATGATGGTTATTTTTAATGGATGGAGATGCCCACAGAAAGATTGGATAAAATTATTAGACTGCATGCACTCTATGCACCTATCTACCTGGAAACAAGCTGAAATTTACGATGCTATTACAAACTCGACCTTCCAGATTCACCAGAATAATGATCTAATTTTTGAGGTTGCGGAGAAGTGGTGTGCCAGGACCAATACATTCTTGTTCCCGTGGGGAGAAACTACAATCAGCTTGGAGGACATGATGTTTCTGTGGTCTTTTTCTGTTTTAGGCGACTTAGTTTCAAGTACTGATGGATACGACAAAATGGATGTGACTACAAAAGAACTACTTAAGGCACCATTCGATCATTCCCAGAATAGAGCAAGGAAATCCACCCCGTTTCCCTGGATGGTAAAATTCATGGACTGTGGAAGTAAATTTGAGCATGAAGCGCTTCTTGCACACTGGCTGTCGGCGAAAATATTCTCTCCATTGCAGTTCATTTAGCTAGAGGCACAAAAATTGCACTTGCACTAGAAGTTCTTGCTGTCATTTATAGAATTTAAGTGCACTGAAAGGGCCCCTTGTTTAAAAAAAAAAAAAAAAGTGGAACTGGACAAGGAGAAAAGGAAGTCATTGAACTTAAGATTACAGTCCCATTCTAGGTGTTGCAGGCTTGGGTGGGAGTGATTCCAAATATGACGTCCCATGCCCAATTAGACTGGGTGTGGTGAGAAAAGATTGGATCAATGGCATGGCATAAAGGAAGTGGGAATGGAGAAAGCGTAATTGGCACTAGATGGCGCTAAAGAAGATTTTATTGAGAACCATTAGATTAGAGCTGCAAACAACTTCTTCACTCACATGGTTTAAAGGAAAATTATTATTGGGAAATACTTCAATCTGGTTCATGTGATGAATTTGAGGGGCATGTTTGATGTTTGAGACTGAGCGAGTTTGTTAGCCTAGAAGTTGATTGCATTGAGCATTATCTCTCACATCGTGTGGCCATACAATGTTATCTGTTGTACCATCCATTCATCAATCATGCTCCAGTAGTTGCAAATAAGATATTTAATTTGGATTAATTATTTTGAATCAAATCCAATCTTGAAAATTACAGCCTATCAACATTTTTACATTTTCTTGCCACGTCATCATTCAAAACATGTCTAACATAATCTTTTCTCCAAGCAAAAATAAGCATCTGATAATTTTATTTCTTCTAACCATATATTCACCTGAAAGCCACCAATATTGGGGTTTCACTCGTAGAATATTCAAATCCATCAAAAAGTCGTTTGTAAACATGGCAGCATAATTCGATGAGAATGAATTATTCCAGTAAAGGCACAATCAAGAATAGGAAATCAACATGCCGTGGATATCTATTATGTCATAAAAAATGTTGCAAAAATGTGCAAGGGAAGTGCAATGGTTGTGTTTGCACACATGTGAAAGAAGAGCGATGTATGTAATGTGGTGGATATTTTCGAGTCTCTATCATGTACAGGAAAATTGATTGTTCTATGCATCTTTCTACCCGGAAATAAGTTGGAATTCAGACGCTATAATCAACTCAACATTCCAGATTCAAAAGAGTGATGATCTGATTTTACGGGGTGAAGAGAATTGGTGTTCCGGGTGCAACACAATCCTGATTCAAATTGGAGAAGCTATGAACATCTTGGAAGACATGATGTATGTGGTTTGTTTTTCTGTTTGGGTAAATCAGTATAAAGCGCAGCTGTTGATGGATAACCTCAATCCATTACCCAAAACTACTTAACGTGCCATCAGATATTTACTGGGCTACAACAAAGAAAGCAAACCTGTCTTCCTAAATGGTAAAATTCCTGGTCTGTGGAAGTGAAATCAAGCATGAAGCATTTCTTCCTTACTGTCTGTCACGGTTTTTTTTTTCTCTCTCCATGAAGGAAACAACATAGGCAAATATGTTCTCATTGCAGTTCATTAAAGTAGAGGTATGAAAATCACATCTCCTGGATTACTGTTTATTTTCATTTTTATTTAAGTATTTTCTTGATGCCTTCTGTCACCTCCATGGAAAGTCGGATTTTTGCTATTCTATTTGTTAACAAGAATCCCACTGCCACTTTGGTTTCTGAATCTGTGCTTCTCAAGGAAAATTTTCTTGGATGGAGATGCCCACCAATGGACTATATTACACTGATAGACTGCAATATTCTATGCATCTTTCTACCTTGAAACAAGCTGGAATTCACGTGCGATATTTAACTCAACGTTCAAGATTCGAAAGAGCAATGATCTGATTTTATAGGTTGAATAGAATTGGTGTTCCGGGACCAACACAATCCTGATTCAAATGGGAGAAGCTATGAACATCTCGGAAGACATGATGTTTGTGGTGTGTTTTTCTGTTTGGGTAAATATTAAGCGCAACTGTGGATGGAGAACAGGAATTAATTACTGAAAAACTACTTATTGTGCCATCAGATGTTTACTGGGCTACGACAAAGAAAGCAAGCCTGTCTTCCTGAATGGTAAAATTCCTGGTCCGTGGAAGTGAAATAAAGCATGAAGCATTTCTTCCTCACTGTTTGTCACGGTTTTTATTTTTCTCACGAAGGAAACAACATAGACAAATTTGTTCTCCTCATTCCGGTTCATGAAAGCAGAGGTATGAAAATCACATCTACACCAACAGTTCTTGCTGACATTTGTAAAAATTGAGTACACTGAAAAGTGGGTATGTTGCTTCAAAAACATTAGGAAGTAGAAAAAGACAAAAGGAAGTTCTAGAAGTTAGGTTGCAGCCCATTCAATTGGTTCAGGTTAGGTTTGGTAGAGACTCCTAAAATTGCTTTTGAAGCCATTGACTAGGTTCAGAAAGCCAAAATTGCCTCAATGGTGTTAAAGAAGATTGTATTTGGTGCAAGAAGTGAAACCTTTTACAACAGTCAATGAACGTTGCAAAATGCTATATATTAAGTGTTTCAGCAACATGTATTAAACGTTACTGTAGAACCAGATTTTAACAACGTTCAATAAACGTTGCAAAAAATAAAACTTTTCACAACTTTCAAGAAATGTTGCAAAAGGCAACATTAGCAACATGTATTTAAAAAATGTTGCCAATGCTCAATTATGTTAACCAATGGCAACATTCATTTACTAAAATGTTGCGATAGACCCCTTTAACAACACTCAATTAACAAATGTTGCATTTTACATGTTGCAAATGACGATTTTTGTTGTAGTGCATGGGCCTCTTGTTTCACTACTTTTCTAGACAATTTCACGCGGTATAGTTATGTCTATTTGATTTCTCATAAGTTTGAGGTATTAGAATGTTTTAGACGATATTTAAATGTGGTAGAAAATCAAATAGATAAAAAGATGAAAGCTTTAAGAATTGATCGGGGGCATGAATATCTGTCTAAAGAGTTTAAAGAACTATGTAATGACAAGGGAACCGTTAGGTAGTTAACTATTCCCAATACACCTTAACAAAATGGTGTTACTGAGATGAAGAATAGAACGTTGGTAGAAATGGTGAGGTCCATGATGGAATAGGCTTACCTATTTCCTATTGGGGAGATGCTTTGTTAACTGCGACTTATTTCTGAATAGAGTTCCATCTATATTGGTACCTACTAGACCATCTATATTCTGAATCCTTTCCACATGTCGATCTAAGTGGCAGCAATTTATCTCTAACTCTAGTGATAGGGTCACTTCAGAGCTTTCAATTCGTACGAGTACTAGAAAAAGTATGCCTAAATGTAATTTCGTGATTGAAGGACAAGTTTTTTGAGTGTCTTCAGAAGGTGATGAAGAACCAAAATCAGTACAAGAAGCTCTTTCATACACTGCAAAGGAAAATTGGAAGAATGTAATGGAAGAAGTGATGTAGTCTATGAAATCGAATCAAGTCTAGGACTTGGTTGATCTTCCATTTGGTCGAAAAGCCCTTGAGAACAAAAAGGTTCTCAAAATAAAGCGAAGAGCTGATGAGACTATAGAGAGGCCTAAAGTTCGCTTGGTGGCAAAGGGTTATACTTAAAAGAGACCAATATAATAAAGATTGTAAATTGAATAGGTCAATCTATGGCCTAAAGCAGTCTTCTAGATAGTGGTACTTGAGATTTGACAAGGCAGTTATCTCGTACAATTTTGTCACGATGGACAAAGATTACTATATTTATTTGAAAAGGTCCAATGAGAAATTTGTAATTTTATCTCTCTACGCGGATGATATCTTATTGGCCGGGAATGATAAGGAGTCTATTGAAACTACTAAGAAATGATTGTCCTCAAATTTGGAAATGAAGGACATGGGTAAAGCAGATTATATATTAGGTGTTAAAATTCAAAGGGATCGTTCGAAGATGCTTCTTGCTCTGTCACAAGAGCCACATATAAAGAAAATTCTTGAATATTTCAAAATGGAGAATTGCAATCCCGTTGACACTATTGTACCGAAAGGTGAAACTCTAATTGCAATCCCATTGACAGACACTCCTGTACCAAAAGGTAAAACTCTAAGTCTTAGTATGTGTTCTAAAACTCTTGAATAAAAAGAAGAAATGTCCAGAGTTCTATACTCTAGTGGGGTTGGGAGTTTGATGTATGCTATGATGTGTACTCCCACCGACATTTGTTATGTTGTAGTTCTAGTTAGCAGTATCAATCTAATCCCCGGAAGAGAGCATTAGAAAGTTGTTAAGAGGATATTGAGATACTTGAAAAGTACTGCTAATATCTCCTTATGCTATGAAGAGAATGATTTGTGCTTAAAAGAATACACAGATGCTGATTGGGGTGGAAACCTAGATGAGCACAAATCAACTTTGGGATATGCATTCTTGCTTAACAATGATGCAATCTCTTGGAGTAGTAAGAAACAAATATGCATTTCATTGTCCACAATGGAAGCAGAATTCGTAGTATGTACTTCAGCGATACATGAAGTTGTTTGGTTAAGGAGATTCTTATAGCATCTAAGAGTCCTTAGTTGTGATGTGAGACCTATATTGATTTACTATGATAGTCAGGCAACCATTGCATATACAAAGGATTCCAAGAATCACAACAGAACCAAATATATTGATACAAAATATAATTTTGGCTGTGAAGTGCTACGCTTGGAGAGGGTGGTTGGCGGTGGTCGCTCAGCCGTGTGCGACGCTGCAGTCCTTCATTTTTTTTGTAGTGGTGGTGGTTCTACTCCGATTTTTTGTTGGCGGTGGTGTTGTGGCGGGGCAACGATGGTAGTGGGTTTCCTTTTTTGTTGGCGGTGGTGTAGTGGTGTTTATCATAAAAGGTTGGATCGTGATGGTGAAGTGGTGGTGGCAGTGGTACAGTCCTTGTTGGCGGTAGTTCAGTGGTGGTCGCAGTGGTGGTTGGCAGTGGTTCAGTGGTGGTCACGGTGGTATAGTGATGGTTGGCGGTAGTGGAATTTTGAAAACATCCAAAACATGTTTTGAAAAATTTGGCTTGATTTTAACTGAAAACACCTAAAACGACATTTTTGTTGTTTTCGATTTTCTTTGTAAATTTTAAACTTGTTTTTGGAAATTTGTTTTTGAAACTAAGTAAGTAAACGAGTTTTCACTGTTTTGAAAAATCGAAAATAGAAAACGGGGCTGAAAACGGTAAAGAGAACAACCCCTAAATGTTTGCTCAATGATCAACCTTAGAAAAACCATTCTGTGGCGTTTGGTATTTATAGGTTAGGTTAATGAATGAATGGGTCGGACAAAAAGTTTTTTAAAAACGAATTAAAAAATTCCTGGATAGCACTATCGCTCGAGCAAGGGATGAGCAATAGTCGAGCGATAGATTGTCGCTTGAGCGAAGGCAAGGCGACACGCAGGCGACTCAATTTCTGACGCTTGAGCCAGACCTTGGCCATAAGCTAGCGATATTTCGACGCCATTTTTCGTTCTTTTCGATTCTCGAACTCTAGACCTAATATAACACAACTTTCTACTATTTGCACATTACTCATTGACTTTTACAACATATCAATTTAAGTCCATTTTGTTCACAGACTTGTCAATTACATTAAATACCTAACAAAATGCACGAAAATTTGTTCAGTGCAGAATAACCTTATAGAGATGAAAGCACAAAGATCTAATGCAAAGAGATCTAGAGTGTAGAAAATTTAATCACCAACGAGTTTTTGGGATCACTTTAATTCCAAAACAATCGACACCACCACGAGGGATCAACCCAAAATATCATCTATAACTTCACCCACTCCGGTTGCTTTTAGTACCCACCAAGAAACACACAAAGGAAGGTATTATAGCAGCCACATAGGCTGGAAATAACTAGAGAGAAGAGAAGAACCAAGACAAACGACAACACGAAGCAGAAGACGGAACATAGCCAAGGTTATCACTAAAGGGTTTTGCAAACACATATTATCAAGAAGAAAAACCATATATAATAGTTAGGTTAATTTTAGGTTAGACAATGAGCCAAGCCCAATATGGTCCATAGGTGTTTAATGAGTGGGCTAACTACAAAAGCCATCCAAGGAGCTATGGATTGAGCCATGAGCAACTCTAAAATAAATTAGGCTATTATTAGTGGTCCATACTAGTTATAGGTCCGAGTTATTCCAATCGAGGTGTCTACATTTCTTTTCAGCCATTTGGTCAATGCCAACTGAGTAATATGATTTAACATCATTGCCCGGGAAGATAGTTTGACAACAATTTGCTTAACAAGATCTATGTTCACTTCTTTGCATTTACCCGCACATAGTAATTTTACCATTTTGTTCATTTTTTATACTGAGATAAGAGTTTATGTAATAGGAATTTATTACTTAATTACTGTCTATATAAATGCAGCAGAATCCCACAACAGATTGCTGCTGTTCCTGGAAAATCCAAACCCTTGTTTAAAGCTTCGAGAAATTAGACAGGACAAGGCACCTATCCAAAACTCGTGCCCTACTGTCTGAAACTATCGCCCTTTTTTCTTCTCAGAAATTCTCCATCAATGGCTGAAGGAGACCGTCTTGTGGCAGTGAGGGAGGAGGAGATGAGTTCAACTTGGAGAGGCTTCCACTTAAAAGAACCACTTATTTCCTTAGGCCTGTTGTCACTCCAGTTTCTGTCGCTTGGTATGATTCTGTTAATCCCACCGCCTGTCACGACCCGTCCCAAGTCACCCTAATAGACCTGACACGTCTCTTTTGGTCAAAATTCAAATATGGAATTGTCAAAGTCATAGTCGAAGGGGACTTAAGTGAAGAAAATTAATTTTCTTGGGATTTATTTCATAATGGATGATATATGAGGGTTAAGGTGGATTATTTTTGGAATTTAGGACTTATATTATCTTGGGAAGTTAAGGGACTTCTTTTGCAATAAGTCCATGACTTAACCATTTTAAAAGCCATTTCCCATTTTCATACACACCTACACGCAGAGACCAAGCTAAGGCCGAGAAAAGAGAGGAAAGAAAGGGGAGAAAAAGAAGGAAAGGAGAAAGAAGAAGGAGAAAGAGGAAGGAAAAAGGGAAGAAAAGGGTAAGTGGCGATTTTCTCCATCTTAGGTTCAATTTATCTTAATTTTTTTTCATGAGATAATGAGTATATATTGTCAATTTTCTAGGTGTTTTAACTTGGCTCGAAATTGCAAATGTAGGTAAAAGATCATGATTTTTAGTTCAAATTTCTTGATGGTTAGCTTCCATTTACATTTAAGGTAGGGAACCTTATTTTTGGGCAAACCCTAGAATTTCTAATTTGATTCTTAAGTAAGGATTTTGTGGAAAATGATTGCGATGATGAAAAATTTACTTGAAAGTATATATTTATGGAAGAAGAGGAAAATTTAATGGGATGAATTATGATCACTAGTTGTCATTGGATTGAAGTGGGTATTTGCATATATGCTCGGATTGAAGATTATGTTGATGAGTTGGTTATTAGTAAATGGACTAGAAAGTGATATTAGCTCCAATGGATTAAAGGAATAATTTGGGAAATTTATTCAAGTATGGAGGAATTAAGTTCTAAGAGCTTGTATTTTAATATTAAGACTACTGAAGATTATTCATATCGTATTTCAGGTGGTGACGTGGAGATTGGGAACGTCTATCAGCCAGTCTAGCTTCTAGCTCGTATTTTGTGAGTGGAAAAACTTATTTTTCAGAAATAAATATTTATTAAATCTATACTATATCAAAAGTTATTTATTTCCTGTATTTGATTTGACAACATGATTTTCAGAATCAAACGGATTTTATAGTCAGTTTCTTTTAAAGTTAAATCTAGTTCATTAAAATAATTTCTTTAGCATGTTATATTCATAATACATATTTCAGCATATTTAAATTATTTTAAAACCATCAGAAAGTATCCAGTTGATTTTACTCGCTCTGCACTGATGTGAATGTGTTTCCACAGTGTATGACCAGATTCAGTGATTTTACCCGCTCTGCACTGATGTGAATGTGTTTCCACAGTGTATGACCTGATTATCAGAGGTTTTTGGGACCCACTCTCGTACACACATAGGCTTTGGGCCGTGTACTCGGGTGATTAGCCTTTGGGGCAGCTCTGCGTACGTATGACCAGATTATCAGATTTGGAATGGCTTTGCCTTGTACATCGAGATTACTCTGTACATGAGTAAGGCTATTCATTGGGTACTTCTTGGTGTGATTATTTAGTATATCATTTATGTATATTCAGTTGTAGATTCACAAAATTTCAAATATCAGATAATAGTTCATTTCAGCATATAGAATTCAGCTTATTCAGTTACAGAAATACCATTTTGACTTACAGAAATGACAGTTTTACACAGATTTATGTTGATACCAGATTGTCTATATTTGACATATTTTTACAGTTGGTTATTCAGAATAAAGAGTATGAATTTTATGATTTTAGCATGTTTCAGTTATAAAAGAAATTATCAGAATTTCTTAAAAAACTGTAAGAATAATGAATCAGATTTTTCAGTAAAAATATATAAATGGAAAAAGTATATGTTTTTGCAAACTATCCACTCACTGAATTACAAGTTCACATATTTTGTCATGTTTTTCCTATCAGGAGGCCGCTGAATTTGAGATACTTGGAAAGCTTGTTGAAGTCCAGAGCCAGATTATCCATCATTAGGTTGCATGATCTTAATCATATCATAGCATGTAAATGTTTAGTTGGGGACTCATGTTCACAATACACTTGGTCTGATATTTTGTTTAATGTTCACTTCGTCGATAGGTTGTTCAATTGTTGTAATGCATATATGCAAACATGGTGTTTTGAAGTAGAAGTATTCAGTCAAGTTTAGTTTCATATTGATTTAGTTGTGGTGGTACTAGTGGAATTGGTGGTTCCCAAATATTTGATATTAATTTTTGTATGGGGTCTTTTGTAAATTTTCAGGTTGGTTTTGTTCTATTTTCAAGAGAAACTCTGCCAAAATTTTTACAAAATTATTGTCTTCATAAACTAGTCAAATAGTCGTAGAACAGTCTATGTGGCCTTGGTGGTGGGTCCATCATCTAGCTGGAACTCATCATCGGCGCACGTTACGTCTGGGTCCACTAGGGTGACTCGAGACGGGGTCGTGTTACCGCCACTTCTATTGCTGACTCCTTGCCAGATTCTGTCACCTTGGTTGCTCACTCTATTCCTATCAAGGCTATTTTTCTCGGGTGGAGATGCCCGCAGAAAAAATGGATAAAATGGGTAGACCAGATATGCACTCCATTCACCTTTCAACATGGAAACACGCTGGGATTGATGTTCTGATTTTTGGGGTTGCGAAGAAGTACTGTTCCAGGACCAACACCTGCGTGTTTCCGAGGGGAGAAGCTGCGATCATGGAAGACGAGGTTTTTGGGGTCATTTTCTATTTTGGACGACTCATTTTGAGAAGAGGAAATTACACCTACACCTGCTTTTAGATTTTCAATTTCATAAATAAGGTTACAAGTTTAACATTTCAAAATTCAGGTTTTAATTAAAAATTTTAAAACTTTTTTTTATATAATTAATCTAATCGAACCCTAGAACAAACCCTCCCCCATTTCTTCCCTCTCGCGCCGTCACTCCCAACTCTCCCCCGTCACTCCAACTCGTCGTCCCTCCACTTGCCTCCTCACTGCCGCCGATGTTCGTCTCTGTTACAGTCTCTCTACTCAACAGCCGCCGCCGCCGCAACAACCGTCTTCACTCTCCTCTGGTTTTGGACTCCTTCTGTCGGTTTTTTTAATTTATTTTGTGAGTGGTGTAGATTTGTTTATAGTGGAAGTGTATGCGTTTGATGCGTTGGCCGGTGCAGTCGGGTGGGTGCGGCGGTCGTGGAGGTGTTGAAACTGTTTGGGTGCGTTGGGTGTGTTATGTGTGCGAGTGGGGCAGTGGGCGACCGTTAACTGCAGCAACGATCTGTGGTTATTGTGCAGTTGCAGTTCTCTCCTCCCGTCTCTGTGGGCGTCGCGGATTGGTGGTCTTGGTTATTTTGGGCGGATGGCAGTGGGTGATGTGCGTGGAAGGTGGTGGTTGTTGGCGGCAGATCTGTTGGTGGCGAATATGCTGTTGGGTGTTTGGGCTGATGGGTGGTGGTTTGGGTGGTTTGTGTGCTGCGGTGGTGATAGTGCTGTTTAGGTGTGTTTCTGCGGGCGACGGTGGTTGAGATACGGCGACAGCGGTGGTTCCGCTGGTGGAGGCAGGGGCGAAATGGCGGTCACAAATGATTTGATTGTTTGTGACCAATCATTTGGTCGGTTTGTGACTAATAAACAATTTGTGACCAATGTATTCGATAAACTGTGACCAGGATTAGCTGTGTGACCTAAAAATTACTAAATTGTGACCTAAAATTTATTAATTTGTGATCAATAAATTGATGTTTGTGACCATAAAATAAGTAACGTAATTTTTAAATTTTGTGATTGTGATCGATGAACAAATTGTGACTTTTAAATTTTTAAGTTGTGACCGACAAATAAATTGTGACCCACGAAAATTTTGAACTGTGACCTAAAAAATTTTGAATTGTGACCAATTTGTATATCTGTGACCATTATATATTTATTAATAAAATATATAATTAATTAAGTAATTCATAAATAAATTTAAATAAAAACCTGATTTTTGAAATTTAAAACATCTAACCTTAATTTTGAAATGTGTATAAGTAAAAGCAGGATTTATGTATTCTTCCCTTTTGAGAACCGCTGGAGACATTGAATTGGAAGTGACTACAAAAGAACTACTTGAGTCACAATTAGATTTTTCATGGGCTATATCAAAAAAATCCAGCCCGTCTCGCTGGTTGGTGGAATTCATGGATTGTGGACGTAATTCGTGGACATCATGTGACCATATAGTTTTATCTATTTTAGTGTCCACATTACTCACCAAACATGCTTCAATAGTCACTAATATCGAATCGAATCGTGGAAAGACTCCAACCCATCTTTAATTATATCAAAACAACATTTTATATTTTTCTTACTACACGATCTTTCAAAAGTTTTGCAAAATACAAGATTCTCAAGAAAAATAAAAAAGTGGAAGTATCTATTAGTTTTATTTCTTTAACCAAATATTGGCAACTTTTCGGTGATTTTAACCCGTTTTCTCGCACAATACTAAAATCCATCAAATATTTGTCGTTTGTAAACACGACAACATAACTCGATCAAAATGCATTTCACAAAAAGGTGAAGGAACAATTTAAGTATAGGAAATTAAATAGGCTGTGGAAATTGATTATGTCTTAAAAAATGTGCAAGGGAAGTGCAATGCTTGTGCATGCACACCTTGCCATTCAAATAGTGAAACTCTGTGCACAGTCTATTTCAATATCACGCTGAGCCAGCGAGTGAGAAAAATTTGAGGCCACACATTTGCGACTCCTTAGTCTCCAATGTTTCTATGATTACCAGATCTGATTTTTTCCCTTTGATGCACAGAGATGTGTTCAACTTGGAGTGACTTTTCATTTCACAGAACCACTTAGTTCCTTAGGCCTTCTGTCACATCCGTTGATGGTCCAGGTTTTTTTTCCCTCCATTTGATTCTGTTAATCCCACCGCCACCTCTGTTGCTGACTTGTTGCCAGATTCCACCACCTCGGTTGATGACTCTGTGCCGATGAAGGATATTTTTATTGGGTGGAGAAGCACAAAGAAAGATTGGATAAAATTAGTAGACCACATGCACACTATAACAAAAATGGTCATTTGCAACATTAAAAATGCAACATTTGTTGACAAATGTTGCAAAAAAGGGTTTTTTGACAACATTTTAGAAGGTGAATGTTCCCATTGGTATTAATAAATGAGTTTTGGCAACGTTTTTTATAAAAATGTTGCGGTAGACACCTTTAGCAACGTTTATTGAGAGTTGCGAAAGGTTTTACCTTTAGCAACGTTTATCAAACGTTGCTAAAAGTCTTAGCAATGTTTGATAAAGGTTTCTAAAAGTCTTACCTTTCGCAACGTTTGATAAACGTTGCTAAAGATGACTTTTAGCAACGTTTGGTGAACGTTGCAAACGTTGTGAAAAGTCTTACCTTTAGCAACTTTTATCAAACGTTGCTAAATGTTTTACTTTTGCAACGTTTTCCGAACGTTGCGAAAAGTTTTGTACCCTTTTCCCAAATTAAATTATATACGGGCACAAATGATTAGGGGTGGGCAAAACCCAAACCAAACCGATCAAACCGACCGACCCGACCCAAACCGACCGGTTTGGGTCGGTTTTTTCATTTTTTCAGTCGGGTTTCGGGTTTCGGGTGGGACAATCGGGTCGGGTTGGGTCGGGTCACGGGTTAGCGACCC